TTTTAATTGGTAAATTAGGATCGACTAATTCGACCTGATAATTAAGGTAAAGCAACGAAATCATGGTTTTTAACATGTTTGCCGCTTGAAATCGGCCGGGACAAATACGTAGTCCAGTTCCGAAATTAAGATTTGAATTGTTCTTTATGTTTTCCTTTTGTCCATCGAGAAATCGTTCAGGATTAAATTCATGGGGATTATGCCAAAGACTAGGATTTTGATGAATCGCAGTGACATTTATTCTGAATTGTGTCGAGGCATGCCATTTACACCCGACAACATCGACTTCTTGGCTGTTCGCTCGAAGGATTGTTAAGAATGATGGAGAGTGTCGAAGTGCTAAAAATTAAATTTGATTAGTACCCAATAAAGCATAACGATACGATAAATCAACATCTCAATTTAGCAGTTATGCTTACTTTCATTAATCACTGCTCCGATATATTTAAGTTGTGTAAGTTTATTAAAGGAGATATTGGTTTTATCGCCGCCAAAAACTGTGTTTAGTTCTTCAAGTAATTTTTGTTTGACATTTGGATTGCGTTCTATATATTCGAGCATAAATCCAAATGTATTTGAAGTCTAGCAATAATCAAGGAAGCTTAATTAATCCACTGCTCAATAATCAAAAATATAATAAACGAGAAAGAAGAATTACATGTACATGTACTTACTGTCAGAAATGACGCACCAATAATTTCAAAGAGGATGATAGAAATTTGTTGATCAGATAAAGCTATAGACTTATTGTTCAGTAGTAAATTTAAAACATCTTCTTTTCGATTGGATGAGTTTTTATTCTGATTTTCTTGCCTTCGCTTTCGAATAATTTTATCATATATTGCTCGAACCTTTTCGGGTTTTTGAAAATATTTTTTCGTTTTCGGCCAAAAAATGGATCTCACCAGCACTTCAGGCACATACAGAAAATAAAAGGCTCCTTTTGGGCTGTTTTCTAATTGTTGTTCAATATCTTCGCCCATTCTATCGATTTCTTCTGCTATATGAATTTTCGGCCCAGTCGTCAAACTATTGAAATATTTAGTCATGATAGATAAATTTTCTCCTGTAGTTGTACGAAATATGATATCAAAGAGTTGACGCATAGTCCATTCCCTCATGTCAACAACGTGCTCGGCACCGAGCTCTTTCCAGTACACTTGTATCTCTTTGAAAGATTCTACAATAATATCAAATAGCGCGTGTTGGTAACTTTGATTTGAGATGGTTTGCTCAAGTATTCTTCGGTAATGTTTCCATTCTTCGTAGTCGTCGTTAAATAAGATAAATCCAATTGTTCTCATGTATTTTCGAAGATATTTATTAAGTATTATTTGAGTGGTAAATGAACTTTGGGTGCCTCGTTGTGCCAGTTTTTCAATTTGATTGACATCGTTTAAGTAGATGTTGCGATTTGGTATCCAGAGTTCAAATAAATCACCATATTGTTGGCGAGTGTTTTGAACGA